AGCAGGAATTACATCTTTTTTCCATGTAATGGTTGATTGGTAGCTTCTAAGTAAGCTAACCTTGGTGAATTCCATTCTTTGCTCACACATGAACATACTTAAACATTTGCTGCCAAAACCACCTCGCATCAAGAGGACCAAAAACTGCATTTATCCCAATAAGAAATGCAAGTAACAGAGATTTCAAAGTCTCAGTATATTTTTTTACCTAAAGCAAATCCACACAATTGAGTGTAAAGTTAAAGTTTATGACCACAGACAAATTGTTAAATGGTCGACTTTTCCAAAAACTAGTATAATGTATTAAACTAGTGATGATGCATGAGGTAATATGTAAAGTTGTGATCCAAATACTATGTGGCTACTAGTACCTCATCAACAGAAGGCAAGAGTTCTCAAATATCACAGTCAATACTTTGGAAAGCCAGGTTATCTACTTCGATAGTTCTATGATAACAATCAAGCAAAAACAACTGCCTTTGTTCTCAAGCAGTGAAAACTGACAAAAACACATGAACAATCCAAATGCATTCAAAACACAATTCGGGCAGAAGACGAGGAATTCAGGGAGAATCCTCCGTATCTTCAGCCATAAGCTATCACGTTCCCTGACAAATAATGGCCAACAGCTTTACTGATAAAGAATACAGAGTTAGTTACCGTACCAACTTATCACTTTTAACAGTCAAAAAATTATGGGATCATAAGCAGCATCAAAGGGGTAACTTTTTCCCATACTTCTGATCTTCTTTGAGCGGCTGGATTTAGAGAGGGACCGTCATAGTCTGAATAAAAACCAGCTCAGAAATGCAGCCCTTTGCCTGCACACAGAAGGAGGCTCTTGGCTCGACTGATCACAGACAGGGGCTTGATGCTAAGGGCAGCAAGCCAGCCAAATCGAAAGACTCATTCGCCCAAAATTTGCTTACATAGTGTTCATCAAAGCAGTCATGAATCTAGCTGCAAGCTCAGTGAACACAAGTTAAAAAAATATATGTATATTTATAACAGGAAGGTAATAGCTTTGCAAGATTTTGAGCCGTGGCTTAACATGTTGGAGGTTATGGTGGTAATGCTAGTTCTAAGAATAAAGTCTCCTGATGCTCTCATACTTTAGAAGCTCAGCAGAAGGCCTAGAGATGATACGCAGTGCAGGGTAACTCAAAAAGTCTGCCAAAGAACACAAGACCTTGGGAGATAAAAACACAGATGCCATAGCTAAGGGTGTATTGAAAACTGGTGGAAAAAATGGAAATACTTCCTAAACTTGAGGGATGTTGGTAAGCAAGTTTGGAGGCTCCCATAAGACTGGATTCTTTCTCCTTGATGATTTTCCCACCTTTTTTCATTCCTACCAATCTCTGAGCACTGAATCTTTTTCCTCATTACATTATTTTTTGGCTTCCTCTGAAAAATCTATTCTTTACTCATTCTGCACCCTGCAAAACAAAGGAAAAGCAGTGAAGCTACAGGAAACTGCAGTAACCAAAGAACCGTATGATCCTCAGCCTTCTCTAAAGCCTATTTACTCCCCTAAGGATGACCTGTTCAAAAGAATACACCCTACTACAGGTGTTGAAAGTTCCTACCAAGGACCTAATTTCTTAAAATTCCTGATTCACACAAAGATTATGATGCCACTTGGAGTTTTCACCTGACTTCATCAGGAAGAAACTCTATTTACAAATAATAGTAATACAGTTAGAAATATTTTTGCTAAGAATTTTACCGATGCTGTTACTGTAAAACTTAAGTGGCACACTGACACCATTCAAACAAATACTCACAAAAAAAAAAAAAAAAAAGGGGCTTTGGTTCTTCCAGCTAATCTGGCCAAGGACGCTGCTGTTACGTCTGTTTGAATGAAGTTCCACATCCTAAAAACAGTTTTCTTCGTATATCTTTTGCTACCTTTTCAGAGGAGAACAGGCCCACTCCTCCCTGTCTTCTTTCTTAATCTGATTATGCTCTTCTACTCATATGTATACCATCTGGTGCACGCACAAGCAAAATTCACTGGGCTTAGATGTAAAATCAGGTGACAAAACAAGCTTGTAGGAAACATTGTGCAAAAAATCCCTGAAATGAAAAGAAATCCAATACCAAAAAAGCAATAAAAATGCTTTAAGTCATTATAACTGAAATGGTTCTGATTATATTAACAACTACAAAAGTTTAAACAGAAGCTTTTCAGAAACATTTCTACAAAACAGCAACAGTTCTAAAAAAATACATTTTTTCCCAATTGCATTTAACACCGAAGGAATGACAACTCCCTGTCATTATGGTCACTTAGTATTTTTGATTCCAAAAACTTCTGAGAACCTTTCAATAAAGTCTGACAACAGTCAGAAATCTGCAGCGGGATTCTGAGTTTTGGCAAAAAAATATCCTTGTCGTCATCAGTATGCTCTTCACTGGCTACAAAAACTCCACTCTGCTCTATTATTAGGTGTCGAATAGCACCATTTTTCATACCACCATTTTTCCTATCACCTTTGTTTTGCAGAGTTTGCTTCTGGCTTGCTGCCAAAGCCATTACATAGTCTGTAGCACTGCACATGCACTGTCCTAGCGTCTTATTTCAGCATTTTTTAAAGCATAAGCAGCAAGACAGAAACCAAACTGATCTTCCTCCTCCTCCTGTTCCCACAACCCCTTTTGTTGTATGGGAAAATGCACCACACTGTCAACAAGGAAAATCAACATTCCAGATAAACTACTTAGATTAGACAGCACTAATTCTGACACCTTGAAAATGCTTGTTGTTACGCAGTGGTTTTGTGCTCCACTAAGAGGATACACCGGCTTGGAACAGCACTCAGATCTTTCATAAAGCAAACTCAAATCCCTTCCACACAACCGCACTCCCTCTCGGAAAGACTGACACATCTTGAACGCTGCCTCTGTCATGCTGTCACTTATCATATTTTACCCTGAAGCACAGTCATTAAACATCTATGCCGCAAGGCTAAAAGTTCAATGTCAACCTGACAGTGTACGATGAGAGCATTGTTACAGCTGTATATAATTAGTTTTTACCTTCTTCTATAGCCAAAAAAGGTTAGAAAATTGCATACAATGAAACAACACAAAAGAACTCTGTTGGCACTGCAAACTCAAGTTGTCAAAAGTTAGGACATGATGGAACTAAGATTTCCTACGACACCTTTGTTACAAGGGTACAGTTGTTAGCCATTGACATTTCAATGATTCTTGCTGCATACAGCGCAACGAACAAAACAGGCTCCATGTGTAAAGGCACACGTTCACTATTTCTTTTCATTGTTCATCATTGAAAGGCATTGAGCTACATTAGCTGTAAGACTATTTCGCTCTGTCAGCAGACTTCCACTTCGTTTTCTACAGGTTTCACCCCTAGCTAGAAAGAATAAAGCTAGTCCTATAGAAACAGGTTATTATTTCTCATGCAATTTCAAAGCATTCCTTGAGTCATGTCAATCCTGTATAGTAACGCCATTTGAATGATTTATTCTTCAAAAGCAGTCCATACTTATAGAAATACGTGACAAAATGGAAACACAAAATAATAAGCAAATTTTTGTGTGGCATTGAACCCTTAAAGCATGCTCTTAGTGGTGTGTTTATCCTGTTGACTCCGGAGATACAACTACAAGTATGATATAGCCAACAATGTACGTATTCCTACTTACACCAAAAGCTGTGAAGGACTGCAAAAAAATAAACCACAGTTTTCTCTTACTTCATTGAAAACTAAAGCAGTGTTATTTTCCCAGATACAAAAACCAAGGTCATTAAAAGCCAAATCCCGCTAGTCTTTCTCATGCAAATTATCTAATTTGTACTGGGTATTATTTGCATGAGAAAGAGGGCAAGCCTACTTGTCTCAAGAAAATATTTTACTACTATATTTTTAAAAGAGTAAACAAACAAAGGAAAAGATGAAAATAAAATTCAAACAATAAGCAGAATGTTAACATGTGCCTGAATGGTTGAACTTTGTTTTTCTTCTGAAAAGATGATGTATCAGATAGCATAACAAATAAACAAAACTAGAGCAGTTCAGCTTTATTGAAATAAAACAAGCACTTCTATGCTTGTAATACACTGAAATTTATGTAGAAATACTATTCCCTGTATATTTTTTTACCCAACTAGATCATTCTGCAAAAGGTATTTGCACATTAATCTTGTCAGGTTTTTTTAATGTCATTACCTTTCTTTTATGATGGGTTGTTGAAGCATCCATCTCTTCTTCTCCTATGTTGTCTATCTGTGAAGTTGGACTACAGTTCATCCTCTCCTCTTCTTGCCTCTGCAGTCTGTCTGCTACAGCCTGGATTGCTTCTGTCCATTCTTCCCTATCATGAACAAGCCAACATCCCTATCAGAAACTCATAAAATACACCCAAATAAGTGGTTTATCATGTTTTTCCACAAGCTACATTGCTCTACGTTCAATTCTTATGTTACACAGCAGAAGACTGACAGAAATTATCCATTTCCTTCCAAATTCTGCATTATGTTAAAGGTGGTGAAGTTGATGAGCGTCAAAAAAAGATCACTGCACAGTTCATTTCAAGAATTACCAGTGTCTGATTTTGTAAATATTTTTATAGCGAAAACATGAAAACGCTTTCTCCAGGTGTAGTGCAGCTCAGAGCATAGAATATCACCCCCTATCTAATATTATCTGATAATAATTTGATATTTTAAGAGACTTCTTGGTATTCGCCCTCCCTGGGAGACATTTTCACATAAAGTAAGTAAGATTTATTGAACCACACCGTACGTTCAACTCCTTGTCTGTCTCCTCTTAAAACTCAGTTTGTTGGCTTGAGAAAGAAGCCCTGAAAGATGATTAAATTCCTCCAAGCATCAGAAAACCCAGTGGCTGGAGGAGGGAGCGGCCCAGATGCGGGTTTCGGTGGAGGGACAAGCAGGGACAGCTGTAAGAGGCACAACGCTGCACACACAGAAGAAAGAGGGTGGAGAAACAGTACCAAGGCAGAATAAAAATAATTCTAAGTGAATATACTAACGAAAGAGAAACAACAGAAAAGGCAAAGTCGTTCGTTATTTATAGTTACAATCAATATGAAACAGGCAAATCAGAGTATTAGTCTCAGCAGGACAGGTGCCCACAGTGGGAAGACTCAGTGCACCTAACCAGAGACAAGTACAGAACATTTTGGCGAAGTACACACATCATCTCATATCTCCTACATGTGTTTGGTGCATTAAAAAAGTTAATTCTTAAGAGTTTGTGTATGTTTACTGAAACAAGAAAGACTAATAATCAAACATAAAATAACTTCTAACCAACACACTGGTTTCTGTGCCAAAAAAAGAAGCATATTTCGTGGTGTAAAAGGAAAATTTCAGACAGCAAGGCTGGAAAATATTTCACTGCAGGCTTCTATTGTTCAAAATTTAACACTTCAGAGACATACGATGACATAGTTTTGGCTTATTTGAATACACTCATCCCACCTACTTGCAAGCAACTCTTACACTAGCTATGAGCTCAGATAATATTTTACAGAAGCTGACTTATAAATTCTTCAAATAACTGTTCAGATGTGCTCAGAATGTCACAGTTCCAAGTACTGATCGCTGTGTGGTCCCAGCAGAGACTGCGCCAAGGCTTCTGCGTAAAAAACACGCAAAGCAAAACAAAAATAAAATCCTCACCGTTCCTCCGGAGTGTCTACATGGAACGTCCTCTCTATGACAGTGGTCCACTGAAGACATCTGATAATGAATGTGTTTGGCTTTGGTCGCTCTGTTTTCATTAGTTGACATTCTAGAGAAATACAACATTGCCTCTTTTATACACTGCCAGTTAAGAGGTGAAGAGCAAATCAAATTACTTAGATTAAATACACATAGCTTATGTACACCTATCCAACACATATCCAGCACGTCTAAGGAAATACAGAACAGCAATATAACGATAGGCTTGAACAAAAGGTAGCAGGTAAGAATCATAAGGTGAAGAAAGCAGTCATTTATGGAACTTGTATTGCTGCCCATATAAAGAGTACGAACTCCATTTTCAAACTGGGTCTGTGTTATGAGGGTAAGCAGAGTCTTAGATCCCGGATTGCTCTAGAATGCCAAGGTAACAGCAGTAGCCACAGGCACATTTTTCCATCTGTACCTGGCAGGAGTAGTATGACATTTTCCTTTCAGTGGTAACCATGCCATAATTACCCACGCTACTGTCACTTCAGGATGAGATTTATTGTAAAATACGCTATCTGAGAAAATTCAGATCTTGAAACTAGTCTGATTATTAAATATAGAATAACCACACACACACGCCCAGTGGGGCTGCCCCAGGAAATCATCTCGTCCTCTTTGTGCCTCAGGGCAGAACCAGGTCTACCTATGGTATTTCTCAGAAGTATTTCTCTAAACTCTTTCTACAATCCCCCAAAAGTAGTAGCTGCAAAACCACTGTAAGAAAACTATTCCATCCAACTACAAGGAAATCAATTCTTTCTAGAGTTGGAAAATTTTCCCTAGCATTTAATGCAACTGTTCCTACAATTCAAGCATGTTGTTTCGTGCCCTATTGACTAATTACTTTTATCTCTCCAGAAGCTGGAACACTATTTTCTCTCCCTTCAGTCTTCTCTGGCCTACGTCAGTTCAACCAATCTGCCCTCACAGGTTGTGCTTTCAGACCCAAGACCTTCCTTGTCACACAATCCTAGATGGGCAGCAGACTGCCTGTTGCTCCTTTGTCACTAGACCACAACACCGGTAAGTCAGGCAGTGGTTCAATGAGACTGTGTACTAAATATTACATTAGAATAGATATCAGATATTAGATATTGGAGTACTGTGTCCAGTTCTGGGCTCCCCAGTTCAAGAAAGATGAGGAGCTACTGGAGAGAGTCCACCAGAGGGCTACAAGGATGGTGAGGGGGCTGGAGCATCTCTCCTACGAGGAGAGGCTGAGGGAGCTGGGCTTGTTTAGCCTGAAGAAGAGAAGGCTGCGAGGGGACCTAATAAATGCCTATAAATATCTCAAGGGTGGGTGTCAGGAGGATGGGGCCAAGCTCTTTTCAGTGGTGCCCAGCGACAGGACAAGGGGCAATAGGCACAAACTGAGGCACAGGAAGTTCCGTCTGAACATGAGGAAGAACTTCTTCCCTCTGAGGGTGACGGAGCCCTGGAACAGGCTGCCCAGGCAAAATTCTGTGAAAATTACAACCCAGCACACTGCACTAAACATTGCATCTGCAAAACCTACGAGAACTCTTTATTCATGCAAATGTATTTAAACATTTTTGTGGCGTTACGGTTACCCTGTCAGAAGTCTCATTCATTTTCCTGCAGCTACCACGAAACAGACACAAACATCACATCTCCTGTTCTGGAACACTGTCCCTTGTTCAAAGTTGACCCAGATCAAATGCATGATCCAAAATGATTTATCAGGTTCACAAATCAATCAATAATGCATATGGCAGCTGAATTCCTGTTCACTTATGATCCGCTGTAACTTCCACAGTTTAACATGTATGCATTTTAAATATTCTCCTAGGCACTGCATCAGACCCAGCAAATTTCTAAACACCCAACATACATAGGTAGCCTCTACCCTGCTTTTGCTTCCTCTCTTTCACCTTTGTTGCCAGTGTTAATTGTACAAGATGCACACTCGTAGCAAACCTTCTGAAATGCAGCTGTATACTGAAAATACATTTATGTAATTCTCTTCAGTATTACCAGCTCATAACGAGCTTAAAGCCTTAGTTCAAGACATCGATTTGTATACCTGAACGCCTAAACAACTTGGGACAAAATTATCTAAGGAATGGCCTCTGTCTCCATGATATAAAGCCTCAGCAATTATCAGCAGACTTGCTTGTACCGGACCATCCTTAATAAAAGCATGAAAGAACTGATATTAGGGGGGTCTGTGTGAGGACACCTTCATTTAAGAACTTTCATGCATGCTGCAATTTTTTTATTTGAAAAAGCAAAGAAGAGTGGAAGTGGATATGTCTGTCAACAGGATTTTTCCTGCAGCTTAGCAGAACACCTCAGGAGCTTGACAGACATGTATAAAAAACAAAAGAGGAATCAAGTAATACTGCACTATGCAGGTGTGTACTCCTTCATGTACAAACCATACATGTATAAATTAATATGTAAGTCAGGCTGCTCACTGGTCAAGGAGATGACATTACATTTAACAAACCTGCATACACTGCGGAGACTCAAAAGAGAAATAGTAATCCAACTTTGCTGCTTTTACAAACTCAGCTAGGTCTTGGATGGGATGAGGGCCATCCTCAACATTTAGAGGAAAGACCTACAGCAGAATGGACATAGCAAGAGGAAATTTCACACAAAAGCTGGAAGAGGAACAAGGAGGACAGAAGCAAATGACGGGAACGTGGGGAGCATGATGAAGTAGAGCTGCTTAGGATTCTTAACCAGGCTTGTAGCTGGGTGCGAATATTATTCATGAGATCAAAGAAACCCCCATCTTCAGGGATATGGTTGACGTCCAAGTTATGATCACGATGATGGTGAGGCTAGGGTTAACAGGCTATTTGTTTTCTTAACTTCCTCAGCTGTAGCTCTAAGGAATGTGTCGGGCTACCTTCGCAACACAAGAGACTAGAGGCATTGTCTGCTCTAACATGATCTCACCCTACTCCTGACAAAACCATCCTCTCATCTTTAATCCTATCACACTTCAACCATGTAGGCTGAAATTTTCTTTGCTGGGTGTCTGCCTAAAGCTGCACACTGCTGGAAAATACTACTTTTTGGAAACGAGACTTAAACTTGGCAAACCAAGACCTTTGATATCCTTTCAATATTCCTGTGAAAATGTAAGGCATCTGGCCACGCTACATGTGGGAGGGATAAGAGTGCAGTGGGAGGAGGGTAAAAAATTACAGTAACAATTACTAAAGCATACAATCATTGACAATATATGCATTGAGTATAATCCAGAGGCTACAGCTATCTCCTGCCTCTACACCTACTAAATGGAAAGCTCTTTCTCCCATATTCATAACGTCTCATCCTATTCCTCAGATAATATGATAAAGAAACTGCCTCACTGAGGCAAAATCCAATACAGGAAGACAGCGCACAGCAAGTTATTTACAGAAGAGATGTCAGGAACAAAGGACTACGGAATAAAGGGAAAAGAGCGGAAATAGGACAGAAAAAAGACTGGGAAAGAAAAACTTGGGGGACAGCTAGAGCATACCTAAACTAGAGTAGCTAGTTTCGGAGAAGGAAGGTAAAAGCAGCTGCCAGGGACAGAAAAGTGAGGTGATTGTGTTAGGACAACCTGAAGGCAAAAAGAGTCCAACCTGCAAAAAAAAGTCTGTACCCATTAAATAGCACATCCTCTCCAGTGCCTGTAATGGAGCTGAAGATTTTGAATTTCACTATTCATTTTCTGATCGCAAATACATACAAAAATGCATACATTAAAATACAAAAATGCATACATTAAAATGGCATTAATTTAAGTTTGCCAACTCAGGCACACAAAAATTGGAACTAACGGAATTAAGCCTGCCTATGTCCAAATGCTATCTAGAATATGGTTTATACCTAGAATCACAGAACGGTTGGGGTTGGAACGGGCTTTTAAAGGTCATCTGGCCCAACGTCCCTTGCAATGAACAGGGACAATACCTACAGTGGTACTATCTATATCAATTTTTTTTAGACAGTCCTCAAAGTGATGATGCACATTATCAACAAGAACAAAACATATGGATGCACATACTCAGCTCTGTAACTACCAAAGAGTATTTATTCTCTGAGTTTTCATTACAGATGATTAACTAAATCAATTAAAGGTGATTAAAAAATACCTTAGCAATTGAAAACGGCACTGAAAACATAAAAAACAAAAATGCCATTTCACTATCACTGAAGGCTGCTATTGAAAAACAAAATCTAGCAAAACTTAATGAGCTTTTTAAATATTCTGTTAAACATGGCTAAAGATTTCATTTCCTTGTGGAAGGTGAAAATTGAGTATGTTCACGTTCTTCCCTTCTGAAGCAAACAGAGTTTCAGCAAGCAGTGGAGGACCAATGTATTTCTAAAAGTGGTGTGCTACTCATTCTTCTCAAGCAGACAAAAGTAACTGAAGTCTGCTGATATTTAGTACACCCACATGCTTCATGTGCTGCCGTACACAAATGTATGGGATAAACAACTTCTCTGACATGATTGCAACATGAATAAAAACCTGTTTGTGAATGTCTTTCACCTACAGCTAGGGAGAAAAAAAAAATCTATTAAGATGGATAAGTACTCTAATACACAGTTACTGCTAATTACCAAAATATTTTCCTACTAATTACTGGAAAAACGGTAGTAGTTTTAGACAGAGAGAATAGTTTGGAAACTACAAAAGCACAGAAGAACGAGTGAAACTGGCTACTGAGAGCTGGCTCCCAACACTCGAGTGATAGTTGGGTCACTACCAAGAGTAGAGAACACTCTACCATAATGTCTTCAAGTTTGCTACTATACATAAACATATGTAATTAAAGGGCTGAATCTCAACTCAAAACAGTTGGAAGTATAAATTATAATTCAAAAAGATGAGTAAGCCAGTAAACAGACAGACTCAACTTTGTGTTCTTGTATGCTAGCCATCTACCACTTGGAATTGCACATTTTAATCCTAAAGCTTTCTCTCTTGCTGGGATTAAACACCGGTCATGAGAATCTTCCCCTTTAATATTAGAGGGGATGAAAAACCTTGGGGGAGAACACTTGTTCGAAGCAGCAAAATATAAA